ATTTAAATTATGAATGCAATTAAGATTTAAAGTTGAGTTACTAGAATTTATGTTTTAACTTCTTATAACTTTTAAAATAGGAAACTCTTCAGAATCAAAAGGAAACATTAGCAAAGCAACACAAAGAAGCGATGGCTGTTTTTAAAAAGCAGGTAATTTCATAAGGATAGACAAGAGCTACAGTTGTAAATACCGTATTTCCTTTTCCTTCCTTGAATATTATGGCAAGCTGTTCTCCATACTCACCAAAGACGAAAAAGACAAGATGGTATTATGGAAAGCAGGAAATGAATAAAGTTATTTTGAATAACAACTGATAATAAAGTAGATAATAGTCGAATGAGTTAGTTAAGGAGGGAAATTGCGAAATCTATTTTCTTGGAGATGGAGATGTGTTTTCATCTGTCCTAAATAATTTCAGTGAGTGGGCTGTGTGTGTTCGTGTTCTTTCCCTTCCCTTCCTCTTTCTCTCTTTTATTAGACTATCCTAGAATCTTACCTTTTTCATATTACCCGACTTTACCCAAGTAGATTGATAACATTATCATGAGAAGTTGAGATGTAAGTAGCGGGATGTCGAGGATGAGGAGAGGTGATTATGACATGCTGAAGCCTCCATAAATGTCAACCATCAGTAACTAAGAAATAGAAGTAGAAAAATAGAGAAAAAAGATTGAAGAAATTAATAGCAACACCTTCAGCCAATTTGAATTCTGTAGCTCTTCTTGACTGTCTCAAATTTTTCTTTAGTTCCTAGTTAGAAAATACTAGTTTAAGAAAATGTGTTCACGTAAAATATTCTCTGAAAGTTTTTTTCCTTATATTTATCTCACGTCATCATTTTTCTTCTTTTTTCCTTCCTTCCTTTTTATCTTCATCTCTATACAACTGTATGTGTTTAGAAAAAGAAATGCACATAAAGAAATAAACCTATATAATTTACGTCACTAGTGGGTTAAAGGTTCTTGATAATTTACGTCTTAGTATGAATTTGTTTAAACAAATGACAGACTTACTTCCTTTAATTTGAGATAGACCTAACCAAAGTGACAGGAGTTTTATTTGAAGGGTAAAGAAGCAGAAGCCGAAAGCATAGCATAGTGTTCTCTAGGAAAGAGCAAGTCTGTGTCTCTGCTATCACAAGGACTTCGGGCAAGATAAGAATACACATATCTGAAATGTAGAGGAGAAAGTACTCTTGTGTTCTTTTGTTTCCATCTTATTTTGTTTGTGTTTACCTCATAGAAAGGGTTCTTGAATATAAATGAGAAGCGTGAAAAAGGAGATAGGGAAGTTCCAACGAAAAACTTTATTTCTTGAAAATTTTAGCTAATATCCTTATTGCTGCTTAGAATATTTCGTAATTTTTCTTTGGCACATGTACTTTAATTTTTCTGTTTTGAAATGTCATTTTTTAAAAAAGTTATCTGTTAGACCACTGCATGAGTTTTAAAAATTTTCAGAACATACATACTGTCAATGCAAACACAAATGATATTAATTTAGAAAATTGTACCTTCAGAAAATGATACATGCTATTATTTAGGAGTAGATGGCAAAATAGACATTTAAGGAAAAAACTTTTGGAGGTGAAAATGAAACTATCAAGGTTGATTGATATCTCTAATCAGTGTGATTAAATTGTCCATTTACAGCCAGGCCCACTGGTGTGCATCTCTAGTCCCCAGCTGCTTGGGAAGCTGAGGCAGGAGGATCACTTGCTCCCAGGAGTTGGAGTCTAGCCTAGACAGTATAATGAGACCTTGTCTCTAAAAAAAATTTAAAAATAAATTGTTCATTTACTGACTGGCTTTTTTTCCCCTTAGACGGCATCTTGCTCTGTCACCCTGACTAGAGTGTAGTGGCATCATAGCTCGCTGCAGCCCCAAACTCCTGAGTTCAAGTGATCCTCCTGCCTCAGCCTTCTGAGAGCTAGGACAGCAGGTGTGAGCCACTACGCTCGGCTAATTTTTTTTCTATTTTTTTTTAGAGATGGTGTCTTGCTTTTGCTCAAGCTGGTCTGGAACTCCTGACCTTAAGCAATTCTCCCGCCTCTGCCTGCAGAGTGCTAGGATTACAGGCATGAACTATCATGCCTGGCTGACAGGGTTTTGTTTTTTTTTATCCTTTTATATCTTTATTTTATTTTCTGAATCTGAAAGTAACATATTCACATTATATTAAGTTCAAACAATATAGATGTGTAAAATGTTTCTGAACTCTCACTGACCAGTGTAAATCACTGTTAACAGTTTACTTACCTGTATTTTAATTTTTAAAATTGTTTATCAGTTGCAAATGAAGATGTGTGCCTTGGAAGAAGAAAAGGTATTTATTAATTTTTTAAAATAATTTAAAACATAGCTAAATACATTTAATTATCAGTTGTTTACCATGATAGAAAAGAGCATTAGTAATAAACTAATGGAGATGGTTAACTGCTTAAAATCTTAGAAACAGAAAGGACCCAAGATAATCATGTTACTTGACTTCTGTCCTTTTACAATTGGGAATACTGAGGCCTAGCAAGATTAAATGACTTGCCAAAGGTCTCACTTTGAAGTGGCAAAGTTGGGATTACTACTCAGACCTCTTCAGCCCCCAAATTAATGTTCTTACCATGCTACTACAATGTTTCTATTAACCGTAGTATGTTTCTAGTGTTTTTTCAATGTGATTATCTTCTTTGAAAAGCATTGAAGTGACTTACATCTGGGTGTACACCAACTGGCAAAGAGGATACAACTCTAGAAAACCTAGAAATTTATCTGGCACTAAATATTTTCTCTAGCTATCTATTAGTTAATTCATATTTTATTATATCAATGAATATATCATTTATAATAATTTATAGTTTATTATTTTTAGCAAAAGGCCTTCTTTTAAAAATTCTCCCATATCCTTATAGTCACAAGATAAATGTACCTGTATCTTATTAATTAGAATATATTTATTCTAGTTGTACGAATTAAATAATTATAAAGTTTCTATAAGTTCTCAGTAATGCTCTACTGATAAAATGATTCGTTGTTATAAGACATTCCATTTCATGATAATTATAACCATATAATGGCCTTATTATAATTTCATGATATTTTTAAGTCATTAGAAATGTAATTTGTAGTGTAGATACGAGGTTAAAGCCTGTGAAGTATTATGTTAAAGTAGAGATTTTGGTTCTTGAGCTCTTATAGTTTACCCTTTTGTAATATCATTTACATTGGAAAGTACTGAAATAGAGTCTTTTATTTAAAGGGAAAATATCAACTTGCTACAGAAATAAAAGAAAAAGAAATAGAAGGTTTGAAGGAAACATTAAAAGCATTACAGGTAAAGTAACTTAGTATTGCTTAAAAAGGAATTTGGCATTTTAGCATCGTATCAGTAAAACACTGTTAAATAAGTAAGCTGGCAAAACAAAGCTGACAAAAATTCATATGTATTACATAATTTAACACTTTTTTCCTGAGAACCTTGAATTTCAAATAAAGATTTTTGCTTTATCATAGTTTATTTTAAGAAGAAATGTTAAAATAACTTTGATTATTTCATGTAGTAATACAGTTAAACAGAGTTTTTAACACTTCATACATGAGGATAACGTGTAAGGCCTATATTTGTAACTGATTTACCCATGGTCCTTTAAAATAGCATTAATTGAATCTTTGTGGTATGTACTGTGCTTATTTTCTACAAATACAAAGATTAAGAAAACATCATCTTTGTCCTTAAGTTGTTCATGGTAGAGCATACAGAGGTATTTAACTAATGATCATTCATTCAATATACATTTATTGAAGGTCTGCTATGTGCCAAACACTTTTATCAGCATTGAGGATACAGCAATGAATTAAAAAGACAAAAATCTCTGCCCTTGTGAAGCTTACAATCTAGTGGGGAAGACAAAAAATTAAATGAAGTAAATAGTAAAATAAGATACTCACATGATTTCAAAGTGTTACCCTATAGACTTTAATTACAAAGAGCAAAATATATATATATTTTTTTATTTTTTGGATGCCCCCACCCCGCAAAATGTATTTTTATAATGGAAGGAAGTCTAGCAATGTTGATGATGATGTAGGCTTTCCATGGGTCCACTGTTATTATGCAATAAGCACAGAACTTCACCTATGTAATTTTCTTGCCAAAAATATTAACTGAAATCTAATTATGAAGAAACAGTGAGACAGAATCACAATGTATGGGACATTCTGTAAGACAATTGGCCTTTTCAAAAGCTTCAATGTCATGAAAAAACAAATCCTTGCCCCCTCCCCCCCAAAAAAGGTGAGGGGAACTACTTTTGATTAAAAGAGAATAAAGAGATACAGCAACCAAGTGCAATATATGAACTTTCATTGGATCCTGGGTCAAGGAAAAAAATAGCCAATAAAAAAATTGAGAAGACATTTGGGGGATATTTGAATATGACTATATGTTAGATGATATTATTGAATTATTGTTAACTTTCCTAGGTGTAATATTGGTATTATTGCTATATGCCAGAAAGTTTTTATTTTTAGAAAATGCATGATGAAGTATTAATATTTATGGGTGAAATTACTTGATAGCTACAAATTAGTTTCAGATAATTTAAAAAAACCAAAAATATGTGTGTGTATAAACACAATGAAAAGAAAGTAAGGAAAAATGTTAACAATTGATCTTGTAGAAGAAGCTGGAGATGATCATTCTTAGCTGAAGGGTATGAATAAGGACTTGCAGGTATAGATTTTTTAGCATATCTCTTTTATAATATCTATAGTAGTTACTCTAGGGATTAAAAAATGTATGTGTATGTATATGTGTATTTAGATATAGAAACACACATATTTGTCACAAGCTATTTACAGCAACATTTTACTATTTTAGGTGAAGTGTAGAAACCTTAACCACCATTTAGGATCTTACCCTTCCCACTTCATAATACAGCTATCTTAATATTACCTCTCTGTACATTAAGCAGCATATCAGACAATGTTATAATTTTTTCTTTCAACCACCAAATAGAACTAAAAAGTCAAGAGGAAAAGAATAGGTTATTATATTTACCCAGAAGTTTCAGCCTTCATTCCTGGCTCTAAGTTTCCTTCTGTTATGATTTCCTTCCTGTCTGAAGAAATTCTTTTAGCACTTCTTTTAGATCAGGTCTTCTGGTGGTAGATTTTCTTGGTTTTCCTCATCTGAAAATGTTTTTATTTCACCTTCATTCATGAAGAATATTTTCTCTGGATATAGAATTCTGAAATAAGGCAAGAAAAAGTAATAACAGACATACAGATTGGAAAGGAAAAAGCAAAACTGTCTTTTTTTGCAGACAAATGGCCATTTTATACAAAACCTGATAGGATCTACAAAGAAGCTACTAGAACTAATAAGTGACTTCAGCAAGGTCATGGAATACAAAAATTAATTGTATTTCTATTGCAGTGCATGATCAGAAACTGAAATACACTTATGATACAATTTATGGCAGCACCAAAACTTAGGGAATACTTGGGGATAAATTTAATGAATAATGTGCCATATTGTAAACTGAAAACTATAAAACATTGCTCAGAAAAATTAAAGATATAAATAGATAAAATATGCTTATTGATTATGAGTCAATATTTTTAAGATGCCATTTGTATTGCTTTTTCTGTGAACTGCTTGTTCATGCCTATTTTTCTTTTGTGTTGTTGGTCTTTTTACTTCCCGTTTGCATTTCCTAGAAATAAGTTCTTTGTGTCTGTGATCTGAGATTCATATAATTTTTCTTAGTTTGTCATTTCGTTTTTGATTTTGTTTGTTCAGCTTTTTATTTAATTTTTGCCATAAATAAGTTCATTTATTTTTCTTTTATGGCTTTTGGAGTTTGTCACGGTAGAAGGACATTCACCACTCCAAAACTATAAAGGACTTTGCTCAGGTTTTCTTTTTTTTTAATTTCAGAATATTACGGGGGTACAAATGCTTTGGTTATATAAATTGCCTTTGCACCACCCAAGTCAGAGCTACAAGTGTGCCCATCTTCCAGACAGTGCACACGACACCTGGTAGGTGTGAGTTTACCCATTCTCTCCTCTCCCCTGCCACCCACCTAACACTGGATGACTGCTACTTCCGTATGTGCACATAAGTTTTGATCGATTAGTACCAATTTAATGGTGAGTACATGTGTTTGTTTTTCCATTCTTGTGATACTTTGCTTAGAAGAATGGGCTCCAGCTCCATCCAGGATAACACAAGAGGTAGTTCATCATTTTTTTTTATGGTTGAGTATTACTCCACAGTATACATATACCACATTTTATTAATCCACTCTTGTACTGATGGGCACTTGGGTTGTTTCCACATCTTTGCAATTGTGAATTGTGCTGCTATAAGCATTCAAGTGCAGATGTCTTTTTTATAGAATGACCTTTTTTCCTTTGGGTAAATACCTAGTAATGGGATTGCCGGATCAAATAGTTCTACTTTTAGTTCTCTGAGATATCTCCATACTAATTTCCACAGAGGTTGTACTAGTTTGCAATCTCCCAGCAGTGTATGAGTGTTCCCGTCTCTATACATCCATGCCAGCATTTGTTGTTTTGGGACTTCTTGATAAAAGCCATTCTCACCGGAGATAAGTGATATCTCACTGTGGTTTTGATTTGCATTTCTCTGATCATTAGAGATGTTGAGCATTTGTTTCATATATTTTTTGGCCATCAGTCTATCCCTCTTTTGAAAAGTTCCTGTTCATGTCCTGTGCCCACTTTTTTTACTTCAGCATATTATGCGGGTACAGATGTTTAGGTTATGTATGTTGCCCTTGCCACCCCCCCAAGTCTGCTGTGCCCACTTTTTACTGGGGTGGTTTGATTTTTTTTCTTGCTGATTTTTCCTGAGTTCTATAGAGATTCTAATTATTAGCCCTTTATTGGATGTATAGCATGCAAATATTTTCTCCCATTCTGTAGGTTGTCTATTCACTTTAATGATAGTTTTCTTGGCTATGCAGGAGCTTTTTAATTTAATCAGGTCATTTATTTATTTTTATTGTTGCTGTGATTGCTTTTAGGATCGTAATTTTTTTGTCTAGACCTATGTCTATAAGAGTTTTTCGAACATTTTCTTCTAGAATTCTTATGGTTTCATGCCTTAGGTTAAAGTCTGTTATCTGTCGTGAGTTGATTTTTGTGAGTAGTGAGAGGTGTAGATTCTGTTTCAGTCTTCTATATGTGGCTATCAAATTTTCCCAGCACAATTTATTGAATTGGGATTCTTTTCCCCAGTGTATGTTTTTGTCTGCTTTATCAAAGATCAGATGGCAATATGAGGATGATTTTATATCTAGGCTCTCAATCCTGTTCCATTGGTCTATGTCTCTGTTCTTGTGCCAGTACCATGCTGTTTTAGTTACTATAGCCTTGTACTATAGCTTCAGGTCTGGAAAATTGATGCCTCCCAATTTGTTCTTTTTGCTTAAGGTTGCTTATGCTATACAGGGTCTTCTCTGGTTCCATACAAAGTGTAGAATTATTTTTTCTAGATCTGTGAAAAATGATGTTGGTATTTTAATAGGGATTGCATTAAATCTATAGATTGCTTTGGGTAGTATAGACATTTTAATAATATTGATTCTGCCTACCTCTGTGCGTCATATGGTTTTCCATCTGTTTATATCCTCTGCCATTTCCTTCCTTAGTGTTTTGTAGTTACCCCTGTAGAGGTATTTCACCTCCTTAGTTAAATGTATTCCTAGGTGTTTAATTTTCTTTGCTGCTATTGTGAAAGGTATTGAGTCTTTGATTTGGTTTTTAGCTTGACTGTTGTTGATATATATGAATGCTACTGATTTGTGTACATTGATTTTGTAACCTGAGACTTTCCTGAATTTACTTATCAATACCAGTAGTCTCTTGGCAGAATCTTTGGGGTTTTCTAGATAAAATATCATACTGTAAGCAAAGAGTGATAATTTAACTTCTTCTGCCCCAATTTCGATACCCTTGATTTCCTTCTTTTGTCTGATTGCACTTCGTTGAATAGAAGTGGTGATAGAGGGCAACCTTGTCTGGTTCCAGTTCTAAGTGGGAATGCTTTCAGTTTTTCTCCATTCAGTATTATGTTAGCTGTGGGTTTGTCGTATATGGCTTTTATCATATTGAGATAAGTCCTGTCTATACCTGTTTTGTTAAGTTCTTATCATAAAAGGGTGCTGAATTTTGTCAAATGCTTTTTCTACATCTATTGAGAGGATCATATGGTCTTTGTTTTTACTTCTGTTTAGGTGGTGAATTACATTTATAGATTTGCGTATGTTGGACCATCCTTGCGTCTGTGGGATGAAGCCCATT